AATCCATTTTTTTTTTTTTTCGCTAGTTTTCTGACCAAACGGTGCCTAGGAAGCTTTTATCAATGAAGAAATGAGCAGTAGGTGTTACAATTTTCCATTAAACTACATATGGCGAGAAAGGGTTACCATTTTTTCTCACTGTTTTCAGAATATGTGAAATGCACAAACCAGTGTGAGCGAGTTTCTTGCCACGATTTCTCCATCGCTAGAATTTATCGGATCCTGAAAAAGCAATATAATCAAAAAAATCTAAATGACTCCTCTCCTCTGCTCCCCTCCTCGTTTCATATGTTTTTGTGCTTGGTAGCTTATTTCTCCTTCGCTAGGACCTGAGAGAATCAGCCTTCAGGAGAACCAATGGAAAGTGTTCTTTTAAAATACTTGCTCTCGATTAATAAAAAAAGGCACAAGGCTTCCGAAATTTCTGTTTATACCAATCTTTTCAAAACTCAGCCTAAGCTTCTCTGTCATAACTCATTGCCCAACAAGCACCTGAAAAATTCAACTGAAGTAAAGCCACACACTTCGAAACGAACATTGGCAGCATCTTCCTTGTAGCGTAACAAACCAGGAGTGCAAGCGTGAAAAATCCTTAGAGATGAATCCACAATCAGATGTCTGCTCTAAATACCCCTTCTCTCGTTGTAGACTTTGCCCGACTGTTACAATGGCAAGATATTCAATAAGAAAGCAAGAATCTGCCCATCCTAGACAAAAACTGTGCACAGAGAGTCTGGATTGTCGATATGGATGTGTTTTGTACGATACAGTACATGAAGTGAGCTGATATACAATTTTGCGGTAGAAAATTATGCTCCGCCCTGTAGCAGCCATTCATTTCTGAAAAAATTATTGCTATTTTGGTATTAAAATGCTGACAGATTGTTATGGAGCTTAAACTAATTCCAGTTCGTTTCCCGAGCAATTCTTAAACAGTCTTACTGGCGGCTGCTATTCGTGCTAACTCCAATCGTAATGAATTATTGCTGCAAAATATTGTATAAGGATGAATATCGCACGTGAAACTCATTGGGTGAATAACTTTTTTTAAAAATAGCCTTGGGCTCAGGACCTAGCTCTCAGGTGCAAATAGAGGTAGTAATAATGGTAATAGTACTGTTTTGAAATTGTGTTTTGATGATACTGTAGTTGTATAGTGATGTTGTGTAATGATGTAAATGCTTCGTTTTATTTGGTTTAATAACCCAAATTTGTGAGGGCCGTCATGGCACCACCTTACTGTCTGTTTGGACGACTTTTGATAATAAGCGTTATTCTAATTTACGTAAAGCAAAGCTTTGTGATAATTGAGAAGAGCGGCTGCTGCAATTGCTGCAGATATCTTATTTTTGAAATTTTTACTTTTGTGCAGGAGAAATAAGGTCGCACGCCCAATTTCAACTTTACCAATCGCTACTGCCTAGGCCAGTATATCACAGCTGGACCGCTTCGATTGACAAGGTCTAAAGTACCCCATAACAAGTTTGATAAAAAAAAAGTGTGATTCTGCTGCACTTCATTATTATATAAGCTTTATATACTGTTACGAAGTTGTGCAACGAAGTTTCCCACAAAGAGCAATTAAGAAGTTCTTTTTTCAGGTACTTTATTTACCGATAAAGAAAAACATGAATGCTTCAATCTGTCAATTTAGAGTAAAA